CTGTGCAAAGCACCAGGAAATAATTGAGATTGGATGGAAATGTGGCCACCTTTAGTCATGTACCTATAACAGTCTTTGGCTGTGCTTTAAGTAAATAATACTTTGCCAGAAGGATACAAAGAGAGGTGATAGGAAATTCCACATTATCCGAAGTGAAGGAGATGATCTAGCATGACAGATTTTGGACAACTTCCAAACTATCTAAAAAGTAGAATTCTTTCCCTCATAACTCAAGCTGTTTAAAAAACAAACTAATCCCACTTGATTACTGTAGAGAGGAATTAATAATGATCGAGGTAAGCCATGAAAGCTAGAACACATAAGGTGCAATTTGGATATACATGTAGAAACCTGTGTGATTCTTCTCTCAGCTATTTTGATACTCCATTGGTACATGACCTTCACTGGAGTTGTTGCAGATAGGAACTGGAAAAAGAATCCACTGCCAGTAGGCAATAGAAATAATTGTGGGACTTCTGTTTTGTTTACCACCAAACTCATCCAGTAGATTATTCAGCACAATTAAAAATTATTCTCATCTAATGTGATAAATTCAGCTATGGTGATTGTCACAAGAGCTTGATAGTAGTGAGTTTCCTTTGGAGAGTGCCAAACGCTCAAATGACAGTAACCCCTTGGATGCACGAACAACAGATTATTGTGAGAAATTCCCATTAAAATGTGTTAACAAGTTTCATAGGTACAGCAATTTGTGGTACGTGAAGTTCTCCTAAATTTACCCTGAATAAGATCATATTTTGATGTTTTACTTCCTTAAATTTTGATATTTTCCAGGTTTTGGTGTGCTAATTTAATATTTGCCTGGAAAAAGGTAAAAGAATATGAAATATCAAGGGTAGCTTGTTACATCTGTAAGAACAGTCTGCTTTTAGTTTAATGGCCCTGAAGTAGAAATCCTTTGTGAAATGTCATAAACTTGCATGACATTTATTAAAAACTCTAAAATAACTGTACTGATTGGAATTTTTCTTCTTCCTTGTAAACTCTTGGGTCTTTAGGTTTTCCATTGGGTACGTATGTAAGATTCTGGAATTTTGCTGGAGTTGATGATATTGTATTGCTGAATAGTTTTGTATTTTTCTTTGAAAGACCTATTCACAAAAAGTCAGCATGGCAGGAATATCTTAAAATAGCACCAGGACTGGAAACAATGTGACTAAAATGTGAACAAACAGTTCTGGAAAACACATACTTAGGGGGAGCTCTTTGTAGGTCAGGAAAAGCATCTGTATTTGAAATGAGTTCTGCTGATTTGATTAGCTTTTATATTACAGGGATCTCTGACAGGGTTGTTACTACTTGGAAATCTTAAAGAATTTGAATTGGAAGCTTCCCTATGTCGCTTCAACAATGTTTCACTGCAGAATATACTGAAGTCTTTAATTTTTGTCCTAGGTTTTTTTTTTTGTTTTAAATTTCTTTTTACCATCCGCTTCACTAACTAACTGTGAATGTAAATTCAAGTTTCTTTCTGTCACTGGGCAGGAGCCAACAAAAAGTCTTAGACAAAGGCATTAACTGAGGACATACTACTAAATGAAAGTTTGTTACTATGAAGTTAGTGCAAATTTACAGCATGCCATTATTGTCCATTAATTTTTGGGTACTCCTGGGAAATGAGGCTGAAGTATCTGCGTCACATTGTGTGGAACAGGTCACCTTTTCTTTCAAAAGAAAGTGAATTGACATAGCTAATTACGCTGTTCTAAGCTTACGCTCTTCCTTATTTACAGACTAACATGCTTGTGTGGGCTGTGCCTGGAGTGATTTTTGAGCCCTTACTTGCCCTACGGGAGGTTCAGTGTATGCAGAGATTCTTGCAGGACCTTGGGTATAGCATTTAGAAGGGCATAGACTGATGTGATTATAGCGATTTCATTGGTCACACTTCTCTTTTAATGGATGTAGGTTGTAAAAGAAATCAGTTTCAGCCAACAAAAAACTGTCCAGGAAGACATGCTATTACTAAACTTGCTTACCTAGGCAGTTTCCCCCCTCCATGTATTTTGGGATTTGTACTAGCCACAGGAGTTCTTCCACTAAGTTCAGAGTTGCACAAGGGTTATTTAAGCACGTTTGCTTCATCTCAGGAGATGTCTGACCTCTGGCAATCAGAGCGTGCTCACTGTGGTAGACCATGGTGGAAAGGATTTTTAACAAACCAATAATCATGAATGTTAACAATTCAGCTGGTTTGGATTCCTTAAATGTTTTTTCTGTTGTGCTGCTAGATGTTATTCAAGTGCAATATGTGTCTTGTTACATTCGAGTAGTGAAAAATCCATTTAACCACCAGAAGAAATTCTAGGTTTCTCTGCTGTATTTATAATTCATGTGTATCTGTAACTTGATCAGCCTGTTTTTTAAGATAATTTCTGTCAGTATAATGGATTAAATTAGTCTGTTCACAAAGACCTATAGCTCTTTTTGTTGGCTAAGAATCTAGCTTTCCTAAGCAAATTCAGTTACTGCATTTGGGTGCTATAGTCTGTTCCATTTACAGCAGCTTTGCCTACCACTGAGATACAGTGAGACGGTTTTGGAATCATGGTAACAATTTGTACGGTAGTTTTGGGGTTTTTTAAGATCTCTATTCAGTCAAAAGCGTCTTTCAAAAACTTAAATACAGTTCACACAAAAGTAATAGTTCCTTTCAGAAGATCAGCAAAATACACAACTCTGAATGTGAAAGGTCTGTACACCGTTACAACTGAACACTGTTGTTTAGGTTGGAGGGGGGACTTAAAAAATTCTCCAGCTACTTCCTTGTGCAGTCAGGGGAAAAGCGCTCTTGAAAAGTCTTTCAGTCTTCACTCTACCTTCAGCTTATGTAAATGCCAGAAGATGTGGCAGTGAAATGGTTTAAGCCAGCCAGCTTTACATGGGTACCCAGGCATTTGAGCTAGGAAATACAGGTGGCAGGCATGTGCCACTAGGCCTTTAGCTATGTTAGTCTGACAGGTCACAGGACCTTGGAGTGGAGTGGAGATTTTTGGCCTTACTTGACTATGTTTTGAACTCTTTTGGACTTGAATCCACACCAAGCCTCTTCTATGACTCTACTCCCAGTAACTTAATTGCTTCCCATGCATGGTTTTATGAAAGAGCTCTTGCAGTGAAGGTCTTTTTTTGTGGCATGGTTTGTTCCTGCACAGACTTTTCTTCTTGTAAAGCTTGGGAGGAGTTGATGAAAGGCCTTGACTGTACAAAAGCACAAAGGATTTACTCCTTGTTGAAAATGATTGTCCATTTTGAACCACATTTTTATGGATAAATACCACCCTGTTCACAGAAGCCAATCTGAGGTGAAAAGTTATTCTTTACCAGGTTGTTTTTATCTGTTGCCTTCCTGTATAAGCTACTACACTCATTTGTGTTTGTCTAAGAGGAGCCTTAGTTTTCTCTGAGAAAAGCAGAGAGGAGAACTCATCTCAGAATTTCTCTGGACTCCCAGCATGTTTAAATAGGCTTGGCAGCAGGATGCCTCTTCTGGCATTATTCCACCAAAAATCTGCTGTCTAGTAATCTAGTTGTAATTCAGTCTGCTGAAATTGCAGGGAGGATTGTTGAAAGAAGTGCTAAATGTGTGCCACCTGCTCCCACGGTTAGGTGCTGTGAGTATTCAATATGAAGAAGAAAATGCTATAGAGAGCAGTGTTCACGGAAAGAAAAGGATTGGTGGGCGAGCATTCCCAGTTCTTTTTTAAATAATGCATGTGCTGCATATTTACATCAGTGTGTCAGTGACGGGAACCTGTGAGCTTTGGCTCATATCCAGAGCTAAGAAAAAAATCCATAATGCACTGGGGAAAAATGTTGCATTTTAGTCTGCTCTCAAGCTGGAGGCCCCTCTTTCACCCCCTCTCTCTCTTTTTAAAAAATATACTTTCTTTTAAGAGAGGGTATACTCTGATTCTTTGATCAGTGAGAACATGTTCCCTGCGATGAACCTGTTTCTCTTGGGTATCTTAGGCTTTTGAAACTCTTCAGAAACAATAAAAATGGGCTGGAATCCCAGCCCTTGGAGAATGTAGGGAAGTCCAAAGAACTTCCCTCCACTGAGTGCTTATGAAAGACTACATTGCAGCTCTCTAGGAAGATACTGCACCTTACTTTGTTAGCAACACTGCATCCGCAAGAAGGATTGATGAGCCAGAGTGGTCCAGCATGGAAGCTGTACTCCAAGAAAAGATGAAGATTGAAATTTTCCAGAAAATCTTACGGTAGTTGTATAGTACTGATGGAGATACATCCAAACAGATCTCATGCTTTTTGCGCTAAGGGGCAACAAGAGCTTTTTTCAGTTAAGAAGTGAACATTTTGGACATACAGATTTAATGACTATTAGAAGTAAGCCCTTCAAGGTTGAAAATCTACTTTGGCAAACTTTTTTTTTAGTGCAACAGAAATATTGAACAACTGTGTGTGTCCATGTTAGCCTGTCTTGATGCATTTGCAATGTTCTTTATTGGATAGGTTCAAAGATGGGGGGGGGGGGGGGGGGGGG